AGCGAGGGGGGCTGGGGGGCCGTGCCGCGCCGGGAGGCACCGCTCGCGTCGGGGGTTTGGGGGGCTCTTGGTTTTTTTCGTGTTTTTTTTGTCTTTGGGTTGTTTTTTTTTTTGTTTAACTTTGGCGACAGAAGCGCTGGCGATCGTTCTTGCTTCCCAAAACGCCAGAGCGTAACCGAGTCACAGCGACCAACGCGTGGGTTTTATTTATTTATTTATTTATTTATTCATTCATTCCCTGCCGTGAGATGTTTCGGGTTCCCTGGGGGCCGGGGAAGGGTCTGGCGCATCACCGGTTGCTGACATTCTGCGTCTCCGTGCGTCTGTGCCTGTGTGTGCCCGCAGAGCATCCCTCTCTCCTGGAAGAATGGTGAAACTGGGGAACAATTTCAGCGAGAAGAGCACAAAGCAGCCCCTTCTGGAGGATGGGTTCGACACCATCCCCCTGATCACACCCCTGGATGTCAATCAGCTCCAGTTCCCACCTCCTGACAAGGTACAGTGGGCTTCGGTTTCCACCCTGGAGAGTCACACCCGAGTCTCAGGCAAACAACAAAAGAACAGGTTACGTGTAGGAGCAGCTCGGAAATGTCAGGGAGTACGGAGCGGCTTAGGGCGTGCTGGTTCCCTGTGGGGGAAGAAGCCTGACAGTTAAGCTAATGAAAATCCAGTAGTAGTGATTAGCATTAAAAAGCGGTGGGAAATGTTAGCGATGAGTATACGTAGATTTCAGTGCTGCTGTGTGAAAAGTGTAAACCTACAAATGCAACTTGCTGGGTGCTGTATTGTCATAGCCCCTCCTATTGTGTGTCTATCTGGTTTTTGTACCTGGAAGGTACTGTGTGTTCTCTGCGAAGGATGTGAATTTTCTCTGTCCAGAACAAGCCACACTAATGGGGGATAAAGCACTGCTTTGTGTCTCCGCAAGATGTACGTGGGGGCAGACTGGCCAAGGAGAGAAAGAACTTCCATGTTCCTTCTGCGCTTCAGTAGGGAATTAGTGCTAGCCCCAGACAAGCTGAAATGATGAGAACAGGACACTGAGTTTTCTCCTGGGCAATTTATTTCGTTCAAAACCCTCCAGATAAGTGATTCAGATGCTCCGTAGCTGGAAGGGAGAAGTCCAATGTGCTGCTCACAGGTTGGAAGGGAAGTGTGCATCCTGGATTCCTCATTGCGTAGCTTGATTACTAAGGATGTAATTTTAAGGATTTAGGAAGGTATGTAATAGCCTGTAAATATGTTTATTCTCCTCACTATAAAGAATCAGTTCAGCATTACTACAGGTAAGGCATACAGTAGTAGGATACTTTTTCAGATATTTCAGTATTCTGTTTTTTAGTATCCTGTTTTACTAGGATACTTGCACATTTGTCGCATATGCATCTGGCAGAAAAGCTTTGCGGTCTTTGAAAAATACAAAACTTAACTGGGAAAAGGTCACTAATAACTTCGTGCTGATTTTTATTTTTGATACTGTGTTTTCCACAAGCTTAGTTCTACATAAACTGATTCCTGTATGTTCCTCATAGCTCAAAAAAATTCACATAATCTTATATTGGGGTAAAGAATTTTAGCTTGAGAAATTTGCCTCGGTAGAGTGTTGCTTGCAAGCAATACAAATAAATTTTTGACCTCCATTTTAATTGCTATCGACATCATCACTTGTTGTGTGTGGTGACCAGTTGGCAGGCATAAATGCAATAAGCCATAACAGCTGTTAGAGAGCCTGAGGGTCCATTTTCTGCCCTCGGTTACACGGGTGTAAATCTTATAACTGAGGACAAAATTGCACCCTAAGGCTTTAAAACAAGTGAAGTCTTACAGTGTCTGATACGCCTGCCAGCTGGTGACTGGATGTAACCGATCACCAAGGACCAACATCCGAAGGAATTCGTTGTGTTACCGCACTGCTGAGGGGAAGTCTGAGCCAGGGACCTGCATGGTAATTGGTTTAACCTGAGCAGAGCCTCTGTGGTGAACCCCGGAGGTTCTGTGCCAGCCCGACTGCCGTTCCTAGGATGTGGCGGAACTCCTCCCACCTTCACAACTTTTGCCTCAAACGAAAGCAAATGCACCACTAGGCTAGAAGGTTAAATAAAAAAATATTTGACTGGCTCTTCCACTCTTCCCACTGCCTATTTGTATATTACATTTCCTTTCTTTTTGCAAATATAAAGGGGAAAAATAAAACCATGTATTTGTTGGTCCTACTGGTTTCCTTCTGTAACTGTCTGGTTAGTCATGTCAGTGTGTCTTCACTGGTTGCTACAGACTCAAAAGGCAGCAGCAGAGCAACTGATGTCAAAAAAAAGAAACAGTATTAAGTCAAGATTGACACACAGATCAAATTCTGAAGTACAAAGACACTCATGTATAATGAATAGGAGTACATACTTCATATATCTATGCTTATTATTCACTTACAAGGCTCCGGTATGGCAGTGAAGCATGACTTCTTGAACAGTAGTGACTACAGTTCTAAGGATTTGATTAATTTGACAGCTTCTAAATTAAAGGGATGAACTGATTTAAATTCATATTTAGGTATGTTAAACAAAAGAAGACATTACATAACCGAGCAGATAGAACTGTACGTTCAGTGTCAGCTGAATGTGATTTGAGTTGCCTGGGATTATGCAACATAAAGGGGAGAAGAAGGGAAGTGAAATGTTAAAAAGCATTCCAGAAATCTTCAGACAGTTTACTTCCATGATGCTGTTGGGCAGTTGTAAAGTTAAATACTTGATAATTATTCTCTTACTAATTATAGCTGTAAAAGTGTCTAATAAGCTTTGTGGTACTCAGTCTAGGTACAGTTACACGTTCTAGATACCATTTTGGGGAAGTGAGGAGAATCCAAGGCTTTAGTTTCAGTGCCTGGCTACCTGTCAGAATCTTAATTTCAGAATAATGTAGTTGCTGTTGCTAACACGGGCTGCTATAAAGACAGAATCTGATTCTAAAAATGTAAAAGACTAGATATTTATTCTTTGGAACAACAGAAAATTGAGCAAAACTTAATAGCACTGTGAGTACGATGAACTGCACCCTATCTTGAGAGTGATACTTTGAAAAAGATCCTGAAAAATTGCAGAAGACAAAAATGAGGCAAATAGGTATGTGAAAATTTTGCACAATTAGAATGCCTAGGGGAGCACTAGAGAGATGACTGACGTAATGAATATTTTAGGAATACAGGAAGGATACTAAATTGTGTAGCTTGGGGCAGTAGCTCATAGCAAGGAATAAGCTGACATTAAAGAGCCTTGGGTTTCACTAAATCTCATTAACACAAAAGGTTTGCGTGCATTTTGCTGCTTGCAGTTGACAGTGTAAAAGTTAGACGTTATAAATAAAGAGTGCGAAGCGTGATAGTCTCGCACATGGTGAATAGCAGCTAGCTGGGTCATTTCACTTCTTTTAAACTCAAAATCCTGCCATGAAAGAACGTGGCTACTGGCAGCATCATGATCTGCTAGATTTCTTTGGGCACGCTTCAATAACCGTCTCATCCTGTTGGTCTCCAGTTTGAAGTCCCATTAATGGAATCTCCTGAAGCAAATGGAGGTGACTATTTTCAAACTATACAAAGTGGGAAGCTTGATGATTTGGATTTGAACTAAGTAGATGCTTGCCTAGTATAGCAGCACAGTAGTACCACAGCTGAAAAAACCCAAACGTTTGTGAAACTGTTGCATAACAAGTCTTCTTGGAGGTCCATCAAAACCACTTGGAGAGATGATTTTGTCGATGATTGCTGTGACAGGAAAAATAACTAACAACTTCCAGCTTCCAAAGGAGAATTGCACAAAGTGGGGGGTGGAAAACCCATTGTGCTAGATGGGCTTGTAAGCAGGTAAAAAAAGAGTTAATGAATAAATAAGATTTCTGTGGCTAGTTTCAGCTGACAGCTTTCTGATTTATTTATTTTTTTTTAATACAGGTGGTGGTCAAAACGAAAACAGAATATGAACCTGATCGCAAGAAGGGAAAGTTCCGTACTCCTAAAATAGCTGAATTCACAATCAGCATCACTGAAGGGGTTTCAGAAAGATTTAAGGTAAGCAGTGCTGTCTGAACGTGTTAATTGCTCAGTTGTGCTCACAGAAGTGCTTAAAATCGGTTGCTGATTGTAGTCAAAACTGGCTATGACTAACAGAGTGGCTGCTGTGGGTGTAGCTGGGCATGAGAACAATAAATGAAATGTTAAAATAGTTCAGTATTTAGCAATCAGAAGCAAATCTTGCAGCATTACTACTTGCAGTCCCTCCCTGGCAGATGAATTCGGAAGGCACTTCTGTCAGCGTCTGGGTGTCGGAATGTGGCTGGCCAGGGTGTCTGTGGGCTGCATGCAGGTAGCTCTCACGGCATGGATAAAGCTCCTGTTGGTGTTGGGGGACAAGAACCACAAGAGCATTTGTTTTCTTTTTGGCTTCTTGTTTTTTACTGTCGCCAAACCATTCTCTTAAAAGCATTGTCATAGTCTATTATGTATTTTTTTATTGTTAAATGTATGACTTGGCAGCTCAGAGATGTATACCAGAGCTCTTCGCTATCAGTTTTCCTGGTCCAATTGTACCTTACAGCTGGGTGACAACCGTTACTGGCAGCTGGCAGTTCAGCAAGAATCTGACTCTTTAGCGTCTGCACCGCTGTTGCTCCCTTCGGTAGTCCCAGAGGAAAACCGAGAGCTTAACCGGTGCAAGGACTGAATTACCGTTCCCCCTGCTCGCTGGAGGGTGTGTTTGCTTGCTCTGTGTAAGCAAAGCAAAGCAGGAAAGTCGGCCCTTCAGCTTGTACTTTCCTACCTATTCCCTTGACAAAGGAAGATGACAACTTTTCAGTGATGTTAATTTGGCACCGTACCCAAGGACGCCAAAGCATTTTTAGACAGTGGGCAGCCGCACTGGTCAGTGCACAAGTGCAGATAGATTTGGAAAGGCTCACGTTCAGTATGAGGGAAAAAATACAGAGTTTCGGTTAGGGTGTGGATTCTCTTTATATTGCCCATTTCTAACCTGTGTTTGCATGGTAGGAATTTTAGGGCATACCCAGAGATTCTAGTTCTGTTGTGCTTGACCAGTGGTTCTAAAAGCTGGCCAGGCCCAAGCCTACCTTCAGAAGTGCACGTACAGCTCTCTGCGGAATCGGAGCATGCTAGACAACCAAGTGAAGGCTTAAGGAGGGGTTAGACACTTCAGACTACATTTGCAAAGGAACTTTGCAGAGTGTTGCCAGGACAGGTGTTTTAAGCGCAGGTCACCTGGTGGATTTTTAGCCATACAGTGAAGCATGTAGGTTCCCAGTAAGCTAAGAAGAGGTCTTACAGGGTGTGGTAGGGATTGACTAAGGAGGTAAGAAACCTACTTCCAGTTTTTCTATTCCCTGATTTGGAGCAAGGACATCCCATCTCTTAGGGAAGATGCTACATTCTGACTAACATTCTCTCTTCCTGGGGCCACCGTACCAGTCCTTGAGAGTAGCCCCCTTCCTCTCAGGTGAGGGTTGCATGCACTGTATTGTTGGGTAAAATGCAGGTGGACAGCTCAGAACAAGGAGGACTTGCATCTGGCTGTTTTTTATGCGTGTCCTGGTCACACTAAGGTGATCTGAAAATGCTTACTGCGTTGTAGAAGAGAAAGGGCTATACCTGAGGAATTTTGCCCTTACCCACTAGCTGTAGGGACTAAGGGGTTTCATCGCTCAAACATTAAATTGTAGATCAGGAAGGGTTTTGAATATCTTAGTTGCATCTAAATGTTTTGCGTGTTCCTCTGTAGAGGTGTGTTCTTTCCGTCTTTGTTGGGAGAGCTGAGCAAATGAGACCTCGCTGAGCAACAAACAAACAGCTTGCCATGCTGTTGGGTAGGCTTTTCTAATTTGTGTCGCTGAACAGTGAGAAGCCTGCGCATTTTTGCACTGCATTTTTATATACCTTTGGATGGCATGCTTAAATAAAATATCTTTTAGATATTGCTTTATGATGATCACTCTGGGATTAATCTCATACTACAGGGTTGCTAGGTTTTGCTGCTAGGTAACTACTGCATCAGAGAGAGGTTTCACCAAGATTTGGTATCTCTTGGGAATTGCAGGGTGATTCACACTGTGGCTGTAAGTCTAGGCTGCTAGAGAAGAGTGGGGGTTGACCAATTAGGAAAATTGTGGTTCAGTTAATTGAAAACAGTAGTTTCATGCAGAACATTCAGGTCCTAAAAATGTCCCTTAATCTCTATATAACAGTTTTAGAATTGAATTATGCTGCTTCCAACATTTTAAAGAGAACTGACTGGTTCTCCAGCAGGGATGATTGTCATATTCACCACTCCCAGTAGTAAATATTACATGAATAATTGATGAAATTTCATGAATATGTAGATGAAAAGTACTGATTGTGTGAGGTTTTCTCCTGGGTCCTTATTAATTGCAAACCATCGTGTTAACTGCTGCTGTTGATTCTGAGAGAGCAAAAGGATATTTGTTTGAAAATTAAATATTTGCTATAATTATGAAATGCATTATTTAACTGGTGGGATATTGACTTTGGCTTGTGTTCATGAAAAAAGCTTCAGATGCTGTTTTAATGACTTTAATATTGTGTATCACGGATGCATAAGCTTGCCAGAAGACACAGCCCAAACGTTGTGCTAAAAATAAAATCAGTCAGTCATATTTACAAATAATTCACATGTGTATTCTAAGACATACTTCTTAAATAAGGACAAAGCAGATTGCATTTTTGGGATTCAGCAGTGCATGTCAGCTAAAGCTGTTCTTCCTGAGAAATTATACATTATAACAAATGAAGCGGCTCCAGCACGTGCATATGTCATGTATATCATTTGGGGTTTTAGCAGCTGGGTGAATAAGAAATTATAAAATGTATTCGCTGCATATAATCCACATTACCACAGTTATTACAACAGAGATGAGAATGTTTACAAAGAAAACTGCAAGTATAATTTTCCTGTATGAAGCCATATTCTGAATTCAAATCAGAATCTGTCGTACGAATGTGAAGACTTCCTGATTCTGAGAACCCTGTTGTCTTAGTTTAGTTTTATGACACTAACCACACCAAGGAGGATGTGATTTTTCACTGAAGATTATTTTTCATTGAGAAATAGAAGTCTTGCCTTTGTTCTGTGAACAGTGTAGGCTAAAGGTGGGGGCAGTTGGTCCTTCACATCTGGATAACAACTTTGAATGAGGCAGATTTTTCTCTCCTGTGAATAGTCCACTGTACAGATTAACACAAGAAGGCTGGAATTGTCATTTAAAAGGAGTCTTATGAATCAGGACATAGGAGGAAGCTGTTGCAGGAGAAGATTGATGATAACAGTCACCCAAGGCCAAACCTCTGCCTCCCCCACTGACGGCGCAGTATTTTTACAGACTCCGGTTGGATTTTGCAGTGGGATGTCTGTTGTGGCACCCGTTGAGTTGGGCTACAATTGACAGTTGTGCAGAAACACACCAGTTTAAAAAAATGTCTGTTGTATCAAAGCAAGAGTTTTTTTCCATGTCTTTGGGGAAACCCGAATAAAGAACATTCAGAAGTATTTTGAAAGCAAACACTTATGTTTCCCAATAAATTTCAAGCCCTCAAATAAGCCCAAGCTGTGGTGTGCCTTCCACCATTTGGTTCTATTCAAAGGCAGTTCATTCTTCAGACTTCAGCCTGGGCACGTCTACGTACATCTGACTGCAGAGCCAAAGCCTCAAGCTTATTTCAGTGGCAAGACCATATGGTGCGAGCCATGGACTACAAGTGGCGAGCAGTTGTTGAAATGTCTGCATGAGGTTATGGAAGAGGAGTCGAGACTTCCTTTCAAATCGGTTCTTGCAGCTTTTTTTACCTGGTCATTTGAAGACTGAAAAAATGTATGCAGCGTGTATTTAAATACTCCCATTTTTGATCTGTCTTAAAGGGGCATCCTTTATAACATTTCTGCCTCAAGACTTTTTTACCTGTTCTTAGTAATACCAATGATTATTATTGCTGCAAAAATAATCAGAGACAAGGAAAATACTTCTCTCTGTTTCTGTGTGATTACGCTGTGTGTTGAGTAGCTCTTTGCTCCCACTTAGAAAATCTTAGGTGCATGGAGATGTCAGCTGATTCCTGTACAGGATATCACTTCCTTAAGTATATTCTGTGTCTGTCACTTAGTGCCAGAAGAATGACAGGTACTGACTGCCGTGAGTTGTTCCGTTTTCTTCAGTAGAATTACTCATAGGATTAAAGTTGCTCACAAGTATAAGCATTTGGCAGGCTTTGAGTTTTTACGTTATTACTTCAAGCAAGAAAAATAAAAGAGATTCTTCTTTCCATGTAACTGCTATTTTAAAACAATTGATGTAAGTAAAGGCACTGCATGGCAGCTGGCATTTTCCATTTTTTTAAATGTTTGATAATTGTCTGATATGACATTGACAATCCTCCTGCTAAATTTGTGGCTAAAGGGAGTTTTTTTACAGTCAGAGCTGGAAGACTTAAATAAAGTGGATGCCTAACAGCAGCTCTGCTGCTCTCAGTCAGGTGACCTCTGCCATTGTACCACTTAGAAATCCTTTTCTTGGAGCAGAACCAGCGACACTGGTGACACAGAAGATGTTTTAGGTCTCTCCAGATGTAACACTTATATAGCCTTTCCTCTTCTGTAGTAACTTTTTCCAGCCTTTCTCTTGGCCTCAGTAATATCTTCTGGGATTGTATGGGAAGGTAACAAGGTTCTTATCTCAGGGCCACAGTATTTCTTGAACTGCTTCCTCAGGTCTCTGTGGTTAAGAAACTAATACATGGTGCCGTGTGATGGAAGATGATGTTAAGCCACAGTGCTGGACTCTCAAGGCCACTGCCTTGTTACCTGTTTCTGTTAAACCATGGTGCTAGACTCTGAAGGCCACTGCCTTGTCAACCTGTTTTTGTCTAACAGGATCTCCCTCAGGTTTCATTAATTGCCTCCCTTGCAGGCTGGTTCTGTTGTCTTGCACCGTTGCTGTTAATAAGCACTGGGTCTGTAGCTGCTTTTCAGTTACTGTCCCTCATGAATCTAT